CACCATGGACCAACTGCATCAAGCCAAGATCAAGGTGTTGCGCGACCGCCAAGAACTGCGACTCCAGGAAGCCATCGCGCGAATGGAAAGAGAGCTGGACGATCTGATCGACAAGCATGCCCTGGAGTTTGCGCGGATGCAGCAGAAGCATCAGCAGGAAGAAGCAGACATTTTACAAGCATTTGACGCCAAAAAGTCGAGGTTACGACACCGCTGGACCCTGGAAGAAGCCATCTTGCGAAAGAAACTGGAAGTGCAACACGGGCAGCCGTACGGGCCGCTGCCCCCTTTGTCGTTCAGCGACTCGCATTATGAAACGCGTGACTCGGCCATTTGCGTGACCGACCAGACAGGATCTGCCAGCGGTGATGAGGGACCGGTGCACCACAAGAGAGGGGGACAGGTGCTTTGATTACGATGTGATGCCTAAGTGATACCCTTTCCTTTTTCCCTCGGTCTCATCATGCATATATGCAGTTCCTATATACTACACTAATGTCTCATATACTCACTACCCTTTCTACATTTTTTTGTAATTAATTACTTTCTTGTCACTCCTTGATCTTTCGTTACATCTCTTCTGTCGCTGCCTGGTGTCGTTCAGGAGCGAGCATCCAGCATCATATACGACAGCCGCTTTTATACAGGTTCATTCATGTGCATAGCGTTGATAGTGGATATTCCCCTTTATAATAGACCTTGCTTTATGTTTTCAATAGGACGATCAGTCATAATATGAAAGGATAAATTCTAACCAATTCTGGAGTATCTAAAAGCACAGCTCGCTAGTCATGCACCCAGTAAACGCCAATAACACAGAAAACCCATGTATTCGTCAATTACACATCAGAAACCGGCGAAGCAGACCCAACCTCTTTCCCACTGCCACGACGCTTCCCCAACCTCTCCAACAACGTCTCAACCCTCCCATCCCCTCCCGTAATAACCCCCTCCGTCTGCTTATCTCTCCCACTATCCCCAATCACCACCGCCCGTTCCACCACTCCCGTATTCGAGATCTTGAACCTCCCCACGCGCCCATCCTCCCACTCCACCCGCACATAGACCGTCTCCAACGCCGTCGGCGCCAACGAGACAATCCCCAGCTCATTCTTCGCTATGCGCGTCTCCTCCCCGGCACCACTACCTCCAGTCGCCGCCGTCGTAGAAGCATTAGGGCCAAGAATATTCCTTTCCCACGGCCTCTCATCATCCTCATAGATAGCATCATCATCATTGACCCCGCGTCTCACAACACCCAACGTTTCTCGCAAATAGCGCACCGCATCACACCGTAAATGCCACACGACTAGTTGCTTGCGCACTTCCCGTACGAAGGACTTGAGATCCTGTTTGGGCGTCTTGTGTTTCCATGGTTTGAGCTGTCGCTCCTGTTCCTGATCCTCGTCCATCATCGCGTCTTCTTCCCCATCCTGGGAAGTATTTAGAGCGGTTGAAGCCGGTAAAAACACCCTCTCCAATTTCCTCATATCCACCACCGCCGGAACGGTATGCTTGTGTACGCGCACTTCCCTCTTCTTCCCTTCATCTTGGGGTGTCTTGGGGGATATCCGTCGGAGGAGAATGTAGTATGGTTTTGTGTATGTTCCGTCGCGCGCGCAAATGTCTATTCGGATGCCGAGGAGGTTGGGGGACTCGGAGGTTGGTGAGGGGTCAGTGAAGGGGAAGGTGGTTGTGGAGAAGGCGATGCGGTGGTGGTTTGTTTGCGCGTGCGTCGAGGTGCTTTGGATTAGGGGGGAGATGTCGGTCCATTGTTGTTGTTGGTGTTGTTGGGAGGCGAGGGTTGGTGGTTGGGATTTGGAGAGGCGTTGCAGTGTGCGCGAGGAGAGGAGGCTGCTTGTTAGGATGCGACGGCGGTGTTGGAGGGTACAGACTAGCGGGTGGGTTAGTTGGTTGTCTGTGGGTGGGGGATTAGAGGCTTGGGGGACGGACTTTCTGCGCGGATGGAGGAAATTTCGGAGTCGAGGTCGTCGGTGTCCATTTTCGAGGGATAGAGGATATTGTTTGTTATTTAGGTGGTGGAGGGTTTAGTGGTGATGGAGCTCGGGCGGAGATGGCTACGACTACTATGCTTGGTGGTGGTGATAGGCGGTGTTTGTTGACAGGAGCTGCATCACGTGAGGGGGGATCCCGGGCCCGCGGCTCCTTTCAAGGTTGCAGTTCGATTGGCGGGTGAAATTGTATCCTGGTCTGTGATCCACCGTGCTGGGTCGGCTGGGTATTTGCTTAGTCCTTGCTTTTGGGGGGAGGGGAGGAGAGTTGAATGTTTATCCCTGAATAAGCTATTGAGGTGTATGTTGAATAGAGTTGTTATTGTTACTGCATTGTATAAGTATTGAACATTATGGTGGAGAGGATAATAAGTTGTAGCTATGAGTCGTCATAATTGGAGGCTCTGTTGTCACAGGATTACCCCAGCACGAGATCTTTACTTAAGGTACTAATTCCATCTGCATCTGAAGAATCAACGCATGGAGGGATCGCCAGGCCCTTAATGCGCAACATTAATAATGACGGCTGACCACAGCCAATCACAAGGGAGCCATCGCCGGTTCCAGCCAAGCAGCTGTGGACAAACAAGCTTGACGCTTGAGGCCAGCTTGCCTCAAAGTTCACTCGCCTCTCTCCACCACGTCGAATGGATGCCTCATCCCGGCCTGTTCCAGTCCTTCCTTCGTCTCCCTCTTCCCGTCTTCCCCCTTTCTCCGCTTCTTCCTCCCTCCATGACCCTGCGGATCCCTACTCTTCCTACGAACATCGTCATTCCGCAGCGGATCGTCCTCAGGAGGTGGAACTCCAGTCTCTAGCATGCAGCACCGACACGCGTGAACACCACCATCCTTTGCATTACACAGACCACCTCTCTGACTATCGCCCCGAACCCTCCGCCGTTTTCTCGCCTTCACCATCTGACCCCGACGACTCCGATTCGGATTCCCCCAGTCACTCTCTACACTCACGACACCCACACGCTCCCTCCCATCGTGGCAAATCACCCATGAAGCGCAAAGGCCGCACGGTCTTGAAACGCCGCTCCAAGCCCTCCTTGACCATAGCGACGGGCCAGAACGGCTACGCGAGCGACAGTATGGATTCCTCCATCGAGATGCGAAAGAGGGACACCTCTGTCGAGTCTACGTCCGCTCGGGCGAATCGCCTCATGTCACGTCCTAGTTTCACTCTCGACCAAGATCCTCCAATGACCCCGCAAACGCCCGCCATGACAACGACCTCTTTCGCGAATCTGCCCGCCAGCGACCGGAGAAACTTTCTGCTGCTGTGTGTGCTATACTTCCTCCAGGGTATCCCCATGGGGCTGGCCACCGGATCCGTCCCTTTCCTACTGAAGCCGTACCTGTCGTACGGTCAAATCGGTGTCTTCTCACTCGCATCCTACCCCTACTCGTTGAAGCTGCTTTGGAGCCCTATCGTGGATGCCATCTGGAGCCGGCGGTTCGGCAGGCGCAAGAGTTGGATCACCCCCATCCAGGTCATCGCCGGATTGGCCATGATCTATCTCGGCGGACGCATTGAAGAGATGATGCAGCAGGCGGGCGCCAATGGTGGTGCTGGCGTCTGGAACTTTACATACTGGTGGTTTTTGCTGGTGTTCTTCTGCGCTACGCAGGATATTGCGGTCGATGGATGGGCAATTACCCTCATGTCGCCCCCGAATATCTCCTACGCATCGACTGCCCAGACGGTGGGATTGACAGCCGGCCACTTCCTGTCCTACACTGTGTTTTTGGCCTTCAACTCGGCCGACTTTGCAAACCGCTGGTTCCGGGCCGTTCCTGCGGAAGGTGGATTGCTGTCGCTGGGCACGTACTTGAAGTTCTGGGGCTGGGCTTATCTAGTTGTGACGACTTGTCTGGCCGTCATGAAGAAGGAAGACCGGACACATGAACGCGATAGCATCATGGACGTGTACCGCAGTATGTGGAATGTGCTGAAGCTTAAGAACATTCACACTATCATCCTGGTCCATCTGATCGCCAAGATTGGTTTCCAAGCCAACGACGGCGTAACAAGTCTGAAGCTGTTGGACAAGGGATTCGGCCAAGACAACATGGCGCTAGTGGTATTGATAGACTTTCCTTTTGAAATCGGGCTGGGATACTACGCTGGCAAGTGGTCGACGGAGTACACGCCCATGCGGCTGTGGTGCTGGGCGTTCATCGGACGACTGGCGGCAGCCGTCCTGGCCCAGATCACGGTGATGATCTTCCCGTCGGCTGAGCAGGTCCCGTTCTGGTACCTACTGACCGTGATTGGAGAGCATGTGTTTTCGACATTCATGAACACGGTGATGTTTGTGGCGGTGAGTGCATTCCATGCGCGCATCGCTGACCCAAGCATTGGCGGTACCTACATGACAATGCTCGCAACGTAAGTTTTATTACCCTATCATTCAATAGACCTCTACTAATTATCTAACAGTGTCTCCAACCTGGGCGGTACATTCCCTCGATACTTCATCCTCAAGCTAGTGGACATGTTCACCGAGGCAACGTGTGTTCCACCAACGGTGCCACCACCGTCCGAGAAACTGAAGGGTGACCTCGTCACGGAGGCCTTCTCATGTGCACTAGAGCCTGACCGGACGCGCTGCGTCAACGGAGGAGGCACCTGCCACGTTCAACACGACGGATACTACACGACGAACATCCTGTGTGTGTTGATTGGCGTAGTGACATTTTTCTTCTTCATCCGGCCGGCTGTTTTGAAACTGCAGGGTCTGCCACTCCGGGCTTGGAGATTAACCCCGGGCAGACACTAGCCAGTCCGTTTCCATGATGTATTTTAAATATAGCATAAAAACCTTCAAGAAGAGTCTAGACATGAATGAAGAATCAGACGGATGCATTGAAAGTATCCAGATGACACTTTGTGCGAGGGTAAGCGAGCCCATGGTTCGTTCGCTTTTTGGTCCGGATCCCTGCATTAGCGGAGATGTGAAGCACTAGCGTGCCTGATCTGCAGGGTCTGTCTGTATGATATAAATATAGACAGCCCAGCCTCCTCCCATTTCCTCTAACTTCCCATGAATAATTACTGTGATTATTACTCCTTAGTATCAAAAATGAAGTTCACCCTCCTCCCCACTCTAACCACTACCACCCTCCTCCTCTTCCTCCCAACAGCATACACCTCCTCCTTAGAAACCCTCCGTTACAAAAACGTTCGCCTCCCCTCCCTTCCCCCAAAACTGTTATATCCCCCCACACTAACATCACCCCACTACAATGGTATATACAGTGGGACCTCCGCCTCTTCTCACCAGGCTGCGACCCCAACACCACCAGCTTCGAGCTATCACTCTTCCACCGGCAAGGCGTCTCAGGCACAGCAGATGGGTGCCAGACCCTCGATTCCAGCGTGAATGTGTCCGCGGTGGACACCTTCTCGTGGAAGAGTCCCGGCGCGACGACATACGATTTATGTCTGTATGATGTATGTGAAAGTAGTGGGCATGGCACTGGAAGGGTAGAGGTGATTCGCGATGGGTGGGAGGTTTGTGTTAAGTATTGGGGGTGGATGGGGTGGAGGGTTGTGGAGCATTGGGGGGATTGTTGATCTCTCTATTCAGACTTCAGTAGATGGTTGATGCGTGATGGTGATGTTTGAGATGAGATGAGATGAATATGTACTAGATATACTAAATATGAATATGGTATATATATACAGAGCGGAGATTGTCACGACTAGTCAAATTAGATTAATTAAGCATCCAAATCCCTCACGGCCCAATCCACCAACGCCCTCGCATACCCGCGATGCAACCTCCCCACCCAAGCAGGAACTATCTTCTGCGTCGGTTCTTCGTCACTTATAACCTCATAATCATGTGCCGAGGCGAATCGTACATCGACTACTTCTTCTCCCTCATATACATATACCTCTGAGATGCTGAGCTCGTGTCGCCCCCCGCTCATCAGTCGCCAGGGGTATCCCCATCGGGCGATTTTCTCGAAGAAGAGGCGCGGTTCGTCGGGCATGTGCCATGAGAGTAGGAGGCCTGTTGTGGGGGAGGAGGTTTGTTGGATTGTGAAGACGGAGTTGAGGAGGGAGCGGTCGCTTCTTTTTTCTTGTTCTATTGGGTAGGCTGGGTTTTGGGGTTTGGGGGTGATGAATAGGGATGAGAGTTTATATGTGAGTGAAGATGTGGTTGTAGGTGTCGATGTAGGTATGAACTCCGGGTTAGTCAGGCCCGTATCCCCGGGACTGTAGGATTTATTCTTGATTAGGCCGACGAGGCTGCCTTCGACTATTAAGGGTTTGGTGTTGAGGAAGGTGAGGATCCAGGCGTTGGTTAGGGTTGCTTTGTTGGTTGTGGTGGAGTCATGGGTTTTGGGATGGGATTGGAGAAGTGTGGAGTATCGCTTTAGAAGTGATTTCACTGGTATGTGTCTGGCCTCGTAGACGTCAACTTCGGGACAGTGCTGGGTTGTTGGATTGCTCGGGGTGCGGAGAGCGAGGCTGGTGGTGGTGGTTGGGTCGATGGGGGGGTATTTGGCTTCGAGGGTGCAGAGGTAGCGGTGCGTGGTGTAGGTTAGGATGATTGGGGGTGTGGTGAGGATGAGGAGGCGGGTCGAGGGGCGCATTGTATTTGTCTATTGAAGAAGGTATTAAGTGGATGAGTAGTAGTAGTAAGCAAGTAGGAGGATATATGGGTAAGAATTGGAGTAGTTCTGTGCAGGATATATATAGAGAGTCAATGGGATAAAGAAAGTTGGGCTGAGACTTGTGCTTGGATAGCTTCGAATATAAATAAGGAAGATCACTCATTTAAAATCAGGCTCCGAAACGGGATCGGTCGTATGACCTTATGTTCCGCTGGTTAGAACGGTTTAGTTGGCCTATTATTATTGCTGGGATTGTGTCAAAGGATTTAGTCGCGATGCAGCCCTGATGAACTGAGGGGATGTACCATAGACGAACACAGGTACCTAATAATTGAAATAATAGTATATCAATCAGCCCAAATCATAGCGATATTTTAATTTTTAAATCTATTGCAATAATCAGACCAGCTCATGCCCTGATAGATATACTCTGTAGTAGATAATAGATTAAACCCCACCAACCCCGACCCACCCCGCCAGCCGATCATCTCATCTCATCACTTCCCCGCCCAAATTTTTCTCCAAACACCAACGCCAACACCACCATCACCACTTCTCATTTTACATACAAACAAATCACAAATTACACCTCTACAATCAATAAACTACAAACCAGTATGTCCACCCTCGACGACATCTTCGGCTCCTCCCCCCCACCCACAACCCACCACTCCCATCCCCACCCTCCCAGCACCACGACCACCACCGAACCCTCCGACCTCCCCTCCCTCCGCCGCCAACACGTCACAGCCGGCTACCGCGACGGCATCAGCGCCTCCAAAACCTCCCATGTCCAAGCTGGCTTCGACGCTGGTTTCCCCATCGGCGCCCAACTCGGCATGCGCGCCGGTACGATCCTCGGTATTCTCGAGGGCGTGCTACGCGGGTACGACGAGAGCCAGAAAGCCGTGGTGAAGAAGCTGCCTTCGGCGGGTGGTCGGAAGGGTGCTACCAGCACCAATGGCACCGCCACTTCTACCACTTCTACTCCTACAATTACCGACGAGGAACGCCAAGCCAAGCGTGCGGAGATACTAGCGTTGTACCAACAGGCCGTAAAGGAGTTGGATGTGCGAAAGGTATTCGAGGGGATCAGTGAGAAGGAAATTTCGGAGGGGGAGAAAGCTGAGATTAGATTGGGGAGACAGGGTGAGGGGGCGATAGGGAAGTGGGAGGAGAAAGTGAGGGTGCCGAGGTGGGAGGAGAATATGGATGCGTTGGAGATGAAGGATACTACTGCTGCTGTTGAAGACAAGGAGGTGGAGGAGAGCTGAATGGGTGATTATGGATGGTACTTTTTTTTATCCTTCTCTCACCTCTCATTTTTGTTTCCTGGCGGGCCCTTGCGGCTGTCGGGATTCAACTAGAGGATCGGGGCGATGTCAGCCTAGCCTGGATTATTTTTCCAGGAGACCCAGCAGCAGGAATTTCCCTGCTTTGCTTGCTTGTTTGCCGGCAGGCAGTCTTGGCTTGTATGCAGTGCTTCGAGACTGCATACATACGTCGGGGTCTGGTCTCGGGATGGCTACCTGGCTGGCTCCCTCCCCTGCTGCTGTCGGGACGGCAGGACAGGATGGCCGGATGGTCGAGACGGGACGTGGCTGCAAGGTACGGAGGGGACTTTGCTTGCATGGCGTTTTGTGCAGCTATGGGCTGGGTGGTGGTTAGATTCACGCTGGATGTGGATGACTACGTTGAGTGTATGTCGTTGTGCCGCAAAAGACAGATAATATCTATCTATCTACATGGTGTTAGAAATAGTTTGTGAAATAATGAGTGGTGTTCGTTCCAAGCCACCACTAAGCCTAACCTACCTACCTATCCATCCATCCATCTATACAAAGAAAGTTCCTAGCTAGATACGATAGACAAAAACCTTATGCACAAGACCCAAATCAACCAACCAACCAACCAACCATTCAACCGAATTTCACAAAAGTACTAAACTAACAAAATCGAATCCACCAAGGCCGCCCGCCCAAAACCGGTTTTATGATGCGAGTCACTTCACTCACTCACTCTCATGGTTGAAGAAAAATTCAGTAGTAGCCAGATCATCCCTCATTTCTTCAAGGGATGGATGGACGGACATCCCTAGTAAGCCGAGCTAGTCCGCGGCCGCATCGCATTGCTTGCTCCAAGGGATGGGATAAAACCAGGGACTGAGTAGATTTTCACTTCGGTACCCCTCGCTGGAAAAACCCCACACATGCCGATGAAGAATTCTTTACAGTAGGTAGGAATCTGGGCCTTTGTGGTTCCGTTTGTTTTGGTTTGTTCGTATTGGGAAAGAGGACATGGTGTCGGTCAATTCATGAGGTATGGATGGATGGATGGATGGATGGATGGATGGATGGATGGATGGCTACGGTGAGGAATGGGAAATTCATTGGGTGTGGTGAATGTGGTTTTCTTTGTTATTTGTATATGGTATGTATGTTTATGGTATAGTGTGAGAAGAGCTCAGTAATTGATGTAGTATGGAGTGTGAGTGACAGGCGCGCCCGTGCGGGCAATTGCAAGCAATAGTGGGTAGTGAGCGAGTGTGGGTGGTTTAGGAATGAGTGACAGTAGATAGATAGATAGATAGATAGACAGACAGACAGACAAGGAAATGGGTGTCATGATGGACACAAGTACAGACAGGCATCAGCATAAATCAGTAAGTGAGAAAAAAGAGTGGTATGAGACCAACTATCGTAATCAGTTCGTTCGTTGCCTCATCGTTACATGAATCATCGCAGCGCGTTCGCATTGCATTGCATCGTTTCGAGACTACCGGTGAGATTTCCATCTCAGGGGATATTCGTCTCGTCAGGTCATTGATTGGACATGGGCATGGATGGTGCCGTGCATCCATCATATATATGTGGATTGTCATCATCCGCCGGTAGGGATTTTGGCGGGTCGTTTTGCGTTCAGCGTCATAAACATTAGATCAATCATGGCGATCCATTCAGTATCGTCGGACAGGGCCGTAAGGGTGGTTTTTGGTAGATCGTAGCAAATAGCCGTACATCATTTAACGCCGTATAGGACTTTTTGTTTTCGAACAGGAATGAGAACATAAAAAGGATCGGGAATAACTACATGGGTCTGCGGGACCGAGGAGGTGTAATGTCGCCATGACAGCCCAGCACACGCAATGACTCCCACACCCGTTTATAGAGTGGAGGTCGTGCTAGGGACAGGATGGCCTTGTCGGATCGCTCTTCGCGACAGAGGGTGCACACTTTTTCACGCTCCGGGGAAAGTGACTTCTTCGAGTCAGACCGGGGTCGGCGTCGTGACTTCGCTTGCATTGCAGCTGCAGTTGTTCGGTCAATGTCAATGGTGCGCGCTTGACCGCTGCCGCGTCTCGACTGCGGTGGTACTAGAGAAGTCGTAGATGGGGCAACCAGTCGCAAGGTCTCAGCCGCTGGCCGCAGAGCCTCTCGTGACCGCGCCTTGACGGTTTTCCGCGCGGGAGACGGGCAGAGATCCTCTGGGGGTTGATCGGGCATGGAAGAGAACTTCTCCAAATGATTGCTGTGCTGACTGTTGGGTGTCTGCGGAGGTTGAAGCTTTGGCGCCGACTTGGCTACCCTTAGATGCACTCGACTGCGAACCTTCTTCAACTTGTCCATTGGCTTCTTGGACAGCGACTTGGGATCGACCGACTCGGTGTCCGAGTCGGATTCCCAGACTGACTGTTCGCAGTAAGCTGGTCGTGACGCTGAGGTGGATGGACGATCACGCGCTGAGCTGGCGGTGGGATAGCGTTCAAGCAAGGGCGACCCTGGACTGGGACTAGGTACAGGACTCGGACAATCATTTGAAGGTATAAACATTGCTTTTTCAAAATGAGTGGCGTGTGGCTCCATAGTCACGGGGTTGATGCGAGACGGGGGAGAGATCATTGACGGAGCAATAGGAGGCCGGATTGGTGGAGGGGGCCCCTTCCTGCCGCTATGGGCAATGCCATTCCGGGCTCCATTAGGTAAAGATGGCAATGGCTTCCCACGATGGGAGGGAGGATCGTGACTGTCTCCTTGGTGCATGACCAGGGTATCGGACGACGCGTTAGGCGTCGCTGTATGCGGTCGTCCTTGTCGTACAGGCGTAGAGGGCTGTGTACACAAAGTTACTTGCGACTGGTTCAAGGGAGTGGACGAGTAAGGATATACGTTGTGCCTAGGACTGGGCGGGATGGGAGGGGCGTGCACTGGCAGAGACTCTACCGCGGGGAGGGAGTTGTCAGGATAGATGGGAGCAGAGTAATTGGATGAGAAGGAGCTGCTTGGTGTCAAGTCTGGTGTAGCTTCGGTCTGCACTGAACTGAACGAACTGTGGTCGTGATGCCCAGAAGCTGTTCCCCAAGGACGGGATGATGCAACTTGCTGAAGACCAAGTTGATGTTCTAGCTCGACCACAGACAGGGTAGATCGGTTGTTGTTGGATCGCAATCTCGCAGATTCACCGCGTGCAGTGACAGCAAAGGGAATGTCTTTGGAATACACCGAGGATATCATTGAATACGGATTACCTTCTTCACTGCCTCTCACATCGCGACTACCCGGTCGACGATTGCCCCAGGGAGAGGCGCCTCCTGGAGTATGCTCCAGGTAGAATGGATCAGGTGTCGACTCGTCAACAATCTCTGGCCCTCTAACAGTATAGAATGATGATGCCCGCTTCCTAGGCGGCGTAGCTGTGGGCAGAATGCTTGCAGTCTGTGATCGGTTCCGGCAGCTATGAAAGGCGTTGGAATCGCCGGGAGGCCGATTATATCCGTCAGCCATGGGCTATGATTATGACGCCGGTGTGAATTTGATGTGGTGCATTCAGACACGCAGAAACTTCATTCAGAAATGAAAGGGACGGATGCAGTTCATACAGGTTCAAAGGAGAGACTAGGTACAAACGAAGGAATGAGGATGGCCAGAAACGAAGAAAGGGTCAAGGGCGGAGGGGATATGTTTATACATCTCTTCCCCAAAAAATAACAGTGATGCCTATCCTGGCCTAGGGCAGCCCCATTGCTGGATGGTGGCTAGGTCGGGGAGGAGCCCCGGCGCATGCCAATGCAGAAAGGCGTAAACAAAGCTCGAACGTCCGAGCGCACTGACTCTGAGGACCTATCAGACCTTACATGGTCTCCTTCGGTAGGGATGGGGATGTGCAGCAAGGCGGCAGACCATAGACGCTGGAGCAAGGGAGGCCCCGGAATCCCGATCCGCAACTTTGTTGACGCGGGGTCCTGGTTTTCTGACTCGGCATTATAACCTTGTGCAGTTTCCCTGGAGTTTCAGACTCGGCCTGAGAATGGTATAACGTCAACAATCGCTCTCTGCAGCGTTGCGATTCGAAAGCATTGTGGGCTTGTCAGCTGAGGTCCAGGGGCGTGCCTCCATTATCATCCGCTATCTACTCCCAATGTTCAGGTTTGGCAGCGCAAAAATAGGGCCTGCATGCATACAGTCGACCGGTCCTGCATGATTGTCCCGCTAGTAAGCGCGGCTAGCGATACCACAGGCCCTTGTTGAATGAGGCCTGCCTTTGCTGTCAGTGAGATTTCGAGGAACCTGCGTAGACACTGTTCTGAATTATGCCGGCAATTCCAGAGCCGTGGATACAGGCTGGGGTCTGTTCCCAGGAACCTGGTCTCAAAGAAGGAAGCAGTAGAGAGGTGGTCGCGGATAGTAGAGGCAGGACATGCCGGACTCAACCACGGCTCTGGTGGCCGATCGGCAGCCGATCTTTGGGTCTGGCCTTGTCATCCGTGACCTCCCATCTCTTTGTTGCGGGTCATTCTTCCGCTCATTAACCTCGAGCGATAAGTAGACCAGACTGTCAAAGAAACTATCTTCTTAGTCGAAGTTTCCGACATAGTTTTTCAGTGCCAGAGCTCAAGTTCGGAGCAGATCCCATCTGACGCAACTGGTCTTTGGCAATTGGCTATACAAAGATCATGCCACGACCCGCATTCCAGAATTCCAGGTTGCTGCGGATACTGCAGTTCAGGCATTGGAAGGCCGGAGATCTTTCCGTTGTAACTGATCGATTGAGTTTAGTCGTTTTCTAAGAGGTGGTTGTCTGGGTATAAGAAGGTCTTGCCCCCCACGCATTTATTCTCCGAAACGGCTGGCTTGCCGCTCTGCTGGACTTGGTACATACTCAAGTCCTTGCTGTGAGGTCTGCAGAATATTGGCTCTTTTACCGCAATAGACTCCCTAGCTCCTGTCCTTGAACCAGCCAGTTTCTGAACCTGAAGTCGGTGAAAGTGATTTCTCTCGTCTGAGATTAGGGTTTGGCATAATGTGCATCTATCGGCAGCAATCGTCCTTGCAAACTGTTACCCTCACCACAAGAGTAAAACCGCCCAATAGCATGTCATTGGAAACTCAACCATGCCGTATCTTTCCTGTCTGTCTGGCAAAGCATCTTCTATCAACACATCCATACCTTGCCCTCGTTTTGTCTAGACTGATCACTGATCGCATCATGCCCATTTGCGTTTACTTTGAGTATGGCCACTCTAGCCTCGGGCCTGTGGCGGCTCGAGTGACTGACAGTGCGGCTTTACGAGACTTTGTCGTACAAATTTAGCAGACATCTAGACCGTCGGGGAAGCACGAAGTTGCATGGCCCGCATTCCCGGACCTGTGCATGACGATGCGGTTTTGCATTTACTCATGCATCTCTCCCACAACTGCTCCGCCGGGTATGCATTGGGGTCATTTTGCACACCAATTCGGTGTAGTGAGAAATGTTTTGTGTGTAGGCCATTGTAGGTGTAATAGGGCAGGTCTTTAAGCTGGCTCTAGTTTCCCC